AAAAAAAAAAAGCAAAAATAAAGACAAGGGTCCAGAAAATTTCCTATTACAATCTATCACTGCACAAACTGCTTATTACAGAAAGAAGGGAACTGAATTCAGAAATAAGAGACGAGGTGAAAAATAAATAATGAGCATAGTCACTGCTAAATATGTTGGCAAATCTAAGTAAGATTTGAAATAATAATAATATCACCACCGCCGCCACGATTAATGAGGGATTTTAAAAAAAAGCAAGGCTAAATGATGACATGTAAAGCAGGGAGTGGAGATCAGAACAAATGATTCTAAGGTCCTTGATGAGAAAGAGGTAAGCTCTACTAACAGTTAACTAGAATGGAAGTGCCTGAGTGCAGGAACATCACTGCTGGAACCACAGAATCTAGAACAGTACGTGATAAAAAAAGTTAGACAATCAGAGTAAACCCAAAGAAGGTAGAAGAAAGAAAATAAATTTTGGTCTGTCCATGTAATGAAATATTGTTTGGTCATTTTTAGTGTGGATTTGCTGTAAATTTATGACATGAAAAAAATGTAGATTACATACTGAATGAAAATATATACTAACCAAATAAAATGTGAATAAAGATAAGAGAGGTAACCCCCCAAACCCAATATTTATTTATAAAACATTGTATATTTATTCTTAAATGTTTAAACTTTAGTCACCTTCAAAGTACTCTCCATTTGAGGCAATACACCTATCAAGATGCTTTTTCCACAGCTCAGAACAGTTTTTGAACTTGTCAATTTGGATGCCTTTTAGTGCTTCTGGCGTCTTTTGTTTCAGCTCTTTCACATCAGCAAAACTTTTCTTTTGAGGACTTCTTTCATCCAGGGAAACCAAAAAATCATTTCAGGGCAAGATTGGGTAAATAGGGAGGTAGGGCATGGGGGTCATGCTGGTTTTGGTCAGAAACTGCTGAATACTCAACTTGGTGTGGTAGGTATGCTTGTAAGTCACCCATCATGAAATGGGCAAATGCATTGAAAGAATTTCCAGAAAAAAATTCACTGAAGCTGAATGCAGCCTCTCACAACAGTGCTAGCTGGTACATTGATGCCGATGAGTTCCTAGAACACTGACCCAGCAGGGGAAGCCTACCCTCCAAAAAAATAATTTATATTTTTTTTCAGGGGGGAAGTCACTCCTTGTAAAAGAAATCGATATTTTCCTATGGATATCTACAGACACGGGTACACAGCTACATAAATAAGTACACATATGTAAATAGCTACGTATTGATACATATACATAGAAATAGGCAGACAACAGGTAGAAAATTTTGATGTTTTTACACCAAAATATTGTCAATGATTTTTCTCTGGAAAGTGAATCTATGGGTGTTTTAAAATTATTTTCCTTTTTTGCCTTTCTGTGACCGCATTTTCTTCTTTATCTTTAACAAAAAACATATAATAAAGAAATCATACAATTGAAAATAATAAGCTGGGCTTGGTGGCTCAGCCTGTAATCCCAGGCCTTTTGGAGGCTGAGGTGAGTGGATTGCCTGAGCCCGCGGGTTCGAGACCCGCCTGGGCAGCGAGACCTCATCTCTACAATAAATAAAAAA